TCTCACTGAATGTCTTGATCTCAAAAGGGGCTAACTGTTCCCTTAGATCAGGCCTCGCCTTCTCTAGTAATCGTTCAGCCATCTACTCCGTATCTTCATGTTTTTGGAGGTAAGTGGAGTATTTAGATAATTTTGAGAATTGTTCAATAAATTCATCCTCATCTAGATCACCCTGACGAAATGCATGAAACTCAGCCTCCTTTTCTGCTCTCAATGCAGTAGGAAAATAATTCTCGAACAATATGGCTTTAAAATCTTCCCAAGTAAGAGAGGAATTATCCTTCGGTCCTGATATTTCCCACCATTTCTTAGCACTCTTCTGTAGTAGGAATATTGCCAGCTGCACCTTTTGATTAAAAGTGCACACAACCATACGAAAAATACTCTCCAATTGATCTATCCATTCTTCAACCACCGCCGGCTTAAGATTTCCATCAAAAGTAGGAGGATTAAACTTACGAAAAGTACTCCAAATCTTTGTGATTGTGGATGTCTGTTGCTCAGAGTAGAGATTTATATTCTTTGAACTAGTCTCATGGTGAGAATAGGAAGGTGAGCCTTCATCAGCAGATTGGCTCGCATTAAATACCTTGGTATGGCTTCCTTCTTGTTGGCCATTTCCCTCTTAGTTGGAATTCTCCTTATATTGTCTTAAAACAGCTAACTCTTCTTATTGTCTCTTCATGCGGTCACTAAGATTATATAGTAGATCCATCATTTGCCTCATGGTTGGCTCATTCTGCCTTAGTTGTGACTGTATGGGCTCGCCCTGCCCCATTTGTTGCTGTGTGGGCTACGGTTGTGGCAATGAAAGTATGTCATTTCCTATTGGCTCTATAGAATCACCGACAATTTCGTCACATCTCCTAGTTTTGGACACCATCTCTCCCCTCCTAAAGGATGGAAGTCACATAATTAAGTTAACACTAATCTCAAGACAAGAAAAATAATAGAGAAGTATTATGATTTAATAATGTATATTGTCAATAAACTATGTTAATGTATAACAATTTCATAATTTATAAGAATTTGAAATATGTAGCTCTGATACCAAAATTTGTAACACACACAAAAAATTTTTTTTAAATAATTTAACTCAACCATAGTTGGGTTACAACCACCCAACACATTTTTATATCAATAATTTCAATATAAAATATTTTATAATTGGCTTCAACTCATACACTATAACATTTCAGATAAATTTTTACCTCCCACATGCCATTAGGCTAAATCATATTTGTCCATCCTTATACTCTCAACAAGTAAACTAAATCACATTTGTCCATCCTTATACTCCCAACAAGTAAAATAAGCAATTTAGTCAATTTTCAACACAAGCCAGTTATTTAGCCTTATAATCATGCCATTTTAACCAATCCAAAGTAAACTAAATATTAAAATTACAGTCATCCAAATTATACCAAAAATAGAAATAGTTTGAAAGGCATGATTACATTTATATATTCATATAATTGACAATAAACAAAAAGCCCTAATATTGGTAATATAACACATTATAAATCATAAATTAAATACCCAAAAAAGACAGTGGATCTATACCACTAAGCCTCTGCGACTCCTCCACGTGTCACTCGTGGCTCTTCTCCTGAAAATTGTTAACCACATAATGAGACTCAAAAGTCCCAATAACCAAAGCCAATTTATGATAGTGTATACAAACAGTTAAGTGTGTGCTTACTAAGTGAGAATTAAAAATAATATAATTTCAACAAATATAAGAAATAATACAATATACAAAAACAACTATCCTTATATCCCTCCATTAACCTCGAGCCGTAGTCCTCACTAGGTGCTAAATTACCTGGCTAAAGGTAGATTAGCCCGAGCCCTTACAAGCCACTTATTGAGCTCCAATAGGGGTGTACCACGTGGCACATAAATACAACAACAATAGCAAGTCTCCCAACACCTCCCACAATAATGAAACAAATTCATAATAATATTACACAATTATACAATATTACAAAATTCATAATTTTCTCAATAATCACCCAATTAACATGAAGTAACACTAATCACAAATTAAAAGCATAGTTACCTTGTAGCTTTTTCAATAAATTATTCCTTAAAATTTCTCTCTCACCACAATCTTCACCAGTAATACAATCTACAAATAACATATTATTTATAAATATTAGTTTCAATTTTTGAAACTAATAAATTAATTCTAATAATAGAATTAAAAATATAACATAATTCCTAATCTCAATCTTAATACAAATCTATAGTTAATACTATTGAGTAAAATTTTTAACTCCTCTTTTAATTATCAATAAACATTAATAATCTAAAAATCAACTTCTAAACTAATTTCTATTATCAAAATTTTCTTTTTATTTCATAAATTCGTACCTAAAATACCCAAAAATTAAAAATTAAGTCTCTAGCTTAGAATCATAATCCTATAACCATAATAATTCATTTCTCATCCCAAATAATCATCTAAACCTCAATAAATCAACATATATTTTCAGATCTAGTTTAGAATTTGATCCATAAGCCACAAATTCAAAGATCATCAACAAATTTATACTCTAAAACATTTATTATACTACTGACAACCTCAAAAACCATATTTATTCAACATAAATTCATCCCTCTTCCATATCTTAAATTTTCTATCACTACAAACTCAGAAACTAAAGAAGAAGGATGACTAAGAAAAATTTTTAGAACACTTACTTAGTCTTGAAAAACTTAAAATCACACTCTAAATATCCTATTAAAAACTCTTACCTTAAAAATTTAAATATTTCGCACCGGCGACTCTCTTCTCTCCGCCTCAGCTAGCGCGCAGGAAAAGAATTGAAGAAATGAAAGGAAACAGGTGAGTTTTTATAAAAATTCAGTGGGTCCCACATCTTTTTTTTATTATTATTTCTTCTTTTCTCTCTCTTCCTTTTTTTTATTATTTTATATTACTATTGATGCGGCGGCCGAAAGCAATTCTCTTTTTCTTCTTCTCTTCTTTTTTTTTTTTTTGCCTACCTTTTTTTTTATAATAATAATTTAATAATATTTTTTAATTAATTAATTAATAATAATTTTTTTAAATAATTTTTTTAAAAAAATTAATTTAGAATTATATCCTAAGTTAGATTTAATGATCATTTTCTACTAATTTATTTACCTCTAAATATTTTTTAAAATTTTTATTAACCCAAATTAACTATTAAAATTTAAATTGGGATGTTACAATTATAGTTGAGAATTATAGTTGATGGAAAAATAAAGGCAAAATGTAATGATTATAATAAAGACTTAACAAAATATGGGGTTGATAACAAGTCTCATCTAGCATAAAAAGCTAAGAATTCTTTGCAACTTGCTAAGTATCACAATATTGGATTAATGATGATGGACAAAGAAGAAAAATTAAGGTTTAGAAAACTTAATGATAAGGATGGGCGAGAGATTTTATCATTGTTTTGACGCAATTAGGTGAAAAAAGCATTGAAATTGTGTAAAAAAGGGAGGATTTATTATGCAGGTATTCTGGCCAGCTCGAAGCCCTCAGGGCTTAGACATTAAGGCTTTTTAAAGAATTGAACCTATTTGGGCTGTTACTTAAACTCCAGCTCTATCTACATTAAATTGATTTGAATTATATTATAATATTAATAACTTATGTTAAACTACTAGTATTACATTTTAATGTAATGTAATTTAAATTTTAATATATAGTCTGTGTGTGTGTGTGTGTTTTTTTATTTGTTAAATAAATCATAGCAAAATTAATAATATCATATGAATCTTTATTAATATCACATCTAAAATTTATTTGATTGAATCATCCAAATATCTTTAATTCTATCAAAATTAATTTTAGAAAAATAATATCTAAATAGATCGCATTGATTATAATCAAAATTAATCATATTAATCAATTTTTTTCACAATCAATTATGTACAATCGAAATCCAAATGGGCCCTAAGTATAATATAAACACACTTGTTTTTTAGCCATCAGTTGAATCCAACGCTTCTAATTAGTGCAATTCTAACACACTGCAAATCAGGCACTAGAAGGGATCCATTGTGCCAAGAAGAGCCCCAACATTATGTGCATTGTTTTGGGAAACGCCAAGGTGATCTACTGCTTTTCATCACTAGAATTGGTACAGTGATCACCTTCCATGGAGAAAAATACTTAGGTAGACTGGATGTACCACGTCATTTGTGGTGTACCCAATAAAAACATGATATTTAGATAGGATTAAATATAATTTAATTTTTATATTAAAAATCATTATCATTTTTAGCAGTCAAAATTCAAATCTCAATAATGAATTTTTTCAGATTTGGGATATAGATTTATTTATGATCCGATGATTTTGGTAAGTTGTTTGGAGTTCAAATCTATAATTAACCAAGGTCACTTTCATTGCAGGGAATGGGATAAATGAATATTATTATTCATGTTTCATGAATAATAATTTCAACTATTAAATTTTTTATATTATATATAGATATAAAAAAATATAGACTGCCTTTTATTTATCATATTCGCAAAGGATATTTTCATTCCCACTTTAAAAAAATAAAACATTTGCGGTAATGAAACAAGGGATCTAGAAAATATGGGCCCATGTGCACATATAGCTTGGCTTGTGAAAATATTTTAATAATTTATAAGTATCTTTATAAATATTTTTTAAACCTGAATAGCAAATACATGTCCTGACAAACTCTCAAAATTGAACTCACCTAAACTTTCTTTTATATAAAAAAAATAATAATATTTCAAATGGTCACAAAACTTATTGGTAGGCAATAGGTAAGTATTTTTATAAATATTTTTTTTTCAACCAAAAGTATTATTTGAAATTGAAAGTATGCACTCGCCCAGCCAACCCTCCTAAACTTTTCTTGTGTCAAGAAAATAGCTAATGAAAAATAATGTTAAAAACAGTTATATTGACTCAACAACGACATCAAACTTACTACGACTTGCCAGGCGGAAAAGACACGAGCACTTTCTCTTTTTTCAACCTCACTTATTTAACAAAATGGATTCAAGCAAAATGATGGGAACTAACAGAATTTACAGGAAACTGAAAAAAGAATGAGACTACTACTTTTCTTTCTCTCGTACATATTTTTGTAGATAGGGGTTCTATGTTACAAATCAAAATTGCGGTGGTGTTGCAGAGGCCACATCTAGCATGTTTCTTACATTCTCAATTTCTATTAGAAAGAGCTTCTCAGTTCCAACCAAAAATAGAAAACAAAGCAGCACAAGGTCTCAAGCCTCCCCTCTCTGCAACCTGCAGCTGCCTTTGTTAAGTCATTTCTGTACTACGATGTGTGAAGCAAGCGGCACTCACAGATCTTGGCCTGCAGGCAGTGCGCCAGGGCAAGCAACCATTCATGACAGAAGTCCCTTTGGATTCAGTATAAGATCAAGACCATGTCAAAAGTTTCCATCCAAACAGATTTAAGACCACAAAGCACACAAATCAATCATTACTTGCTGCCAGAGTGAAGTAACAAAAGAATGCATCGAGAATCTCCGAATCCATTTCTAGACACAGATGCTGCTGTTCTGCCATGTCGGTTAAGCTAATGGAGGACTCCTTTTGCAGATATAATTGTCGTACCACTTGCACCTCAAAAATTAATCAGTATGGAACGACATATGGCAGAGCATAAACATCGGGCTCTATATGCAGAGCTTCTGCCCATACCTGAGCTGTTCCCCCGACCTTTGAAGACTCTGACATTGGCTTTTTCTCTTGTAGACTGTGGCTGCCAAACAGCCAATCTTGATCATCAAAATCAGGCTGCTCATCCATTTTCGGTACTGAATATACCCGGCTTAGGTACTTTGAATCTGGATGGGGCGGTTTTGTAGAAGTTTCTTCAATTACAGGATCAGCTGGCACAGTAGCACTGATAGGCTTGTTTCGGAAATCTGCAAATGGCTGAGCTCCAATGATGCCATTTTTCTTGTGTTTCTTGTTTTCGACCTTAAAATTGGTAGCTGCTACTAGACCATCGGAGGCATGTGGGATGGAACTTTGACAAGGTTTCACTGTCCTTCCATTCTCAGTGAATGGATGAGGGGAAGAGGATGGCCTAGGAACCTTACCCGACCAATTATCACTGGCTGTTAAAAAAAGTAAAAATAAAAACGGGTTAAAGATAAACTTGTGAGCCAATAGCAAATCAGAAAGAGACTGCACAAGCAAGAAAAAAGAATTCACCCACGTTATTGAAAACAAGAGTTTAAATATATATGCATATATTAATCATGGGAAACCCAACATTACGTTGAAGGATGCAGCATCTGATATTCAGGTCAACAAAATACTACTCAAACACCAATCTAAATGCTCTATTTGACTTCACATACAACTTAAAAAGGGTTCGTTGAGGACAAACGAGGGCATAATTTGTCATCAAAAGCACTCACCGTGAAGGATTCCATTTGATTCTGTGTCCTTTCGTTTCTTGAGGTTTTCCCCACTAACAGCATTGTCGTGGCTGTTCTTGGTAATCTGTGGGAAAGAATTTATACTCATGGGGCCACCTTTGGTGCTCATTTTAAACTTATTTTGCTCTGTGTTCTTCTGTTCAGTTTGCTCCTTCACTTTCTCTTCCTTTTTTTTCTCTTTATCCCTGTCTTTGTCCTTCCCATGCCCCTTTTTCTCCTTCTCCCTATCTTTCCTTTTGTCTCCTGATTTATTGTCTTTCTTTTCCTTACTTGTCTCTCTTGTTTCCACAGTAGCTTCCACTGCTCTGTTGAAGTTCTTCTCCAAATATCTGGGCGTTCCACCAACTCTGGAATGAAAATTTCCAGCATGATTCTGGTCTGTTGCATTTTCAATTGGTCGGGCCTCAGCCCGGACCCCTTGCCCATCGATCTTCTTGACATCAATACTCTTATCCTTGATCTTTTCCTTGCCATCAAGCCAGGAACCACTATCCTCAGCCACTGGCCTAGTAGTCCCCTCATCCTTCTTTTGGCTTGCAAAGGTATACTTCTGAACCAACTGATTACCAGCCCTTCCATCCTCCTCCTTGATTCTCCTGCCCAACTCCTGACCTGACTGGTTGACGGCTCCACCATCATCCTCCTTAATCCTCCTCCCCAACTCCTGAAGGAATTTTGAATCTTTATTCTCCTCTGCCAGGTGATTATTTTTCTCTCTAGCCTTCTCTCCATTGTTACCAGCAAAGTGTTTGGGAAGTTTCTCCTCCAACAAGATACCCTTCCTATCCTTTTGCTTAATTTCCTTTTGAATGAGTTTACCTGAATCGGGACCTTCTGTTTGTCCTGGGAATCCATTCTCATCAGCGGTATTTTTTTTATTTTTATCCTCATCCTTTTCCTTGTCTCTGTCTTTCTTTTTATCCCTGTGTTTTTCTTTTTTATCTTTCTTATCTTTATGCTTTCCATCCTTTCCTTCTTTCTCTCTTCTTTCCTTACTTTCCCTCTTCTCTTTTTTATGCTTCTTTTCTCTTTGCTTTTCCTGCAAATCATCAGATGGAAAACAAATATCAAGAATAATTATCAAGTGAGGACACAGTTAAATGAATATACGACCACTTCACTGCACCACAGCAAAAATTACAGCAGAAATCATTTTCACTGGGATAACACACACAGACAAGCATGCTTAAGCAGTCTGCTGTTGGATTGAAGAGAAAAATATCAGAGTGATCCTAGTTACCTTCTAACACTAGATACCAACAACCATAACATAATGTTAATTATTATTCTTTACATGTAACCTGTTGGATAAGTGAAATCCACCTGTCTTCTATATCATAATAAACAGACTCCTGCAAATAAAAGTCTTTTGCATAGCCCATTATGACCCACAAATAAACAGGGAAGCTCCATCTTCTGAAGTCCCAAAATCTTCTCAACCGAGAAAAGTATACTCATGTTCACAAGACAAATCAAGGCAGAAAACAAACAGCAAACTCACTGCTTAATACTACTCTAATAGATGAGATCCGCAGACCACAATGTCTCCTATGTTTCCATTAAAAAAAAAACAAAAACATAAAAACATCTATCCAGTTAAAAATGCAACCAAAGCCAAACAGAAATCTTGGGATATTTATCATGCATCCGAAAAGAAAAAAGAAAGGAAGAAAGAAAACTTCTGCCCCTTCGGGGACATCTGATAAAAAGAAAGAAAACTTCTCATTTAATTTAGAATTTGGTTACAATTAAGTAAGGGAAGAGAAGCTCCAAATATGATCCACAAGGGGGTAACTGTTGATTCTTGATGTATCAAGGGTATTAAGTTTCTCAAATTCATACTTGATATACCAGTTACTCCTGTTTTATAACAAGCCTGAGCAAGTAAGGTTATCTACTATGCACTTTTATCTACTACGCACTTTCCATTTTAAAGTGCAACATCCACTTTTGAGGATCTTTCCAAATCCAATAGGATCAGTCTTCATAATTTGCAAGAAGATAATGAGCAATATTATCTACATCTTAAGTTAAAACTTACTGCAGCATACAATCTAACTGACCATGATGGAGTTTTTCCATTCGCCATCCACCGCATTTTTTATCCACACATTGTGTCCATGCTAAGACTTTGCCATCCCCCAAGGCATGCTTCTCTTGATTACTTACTTTTTTATTCCCGAGTCATTTACTATTAAGCATTTATAGAAAGATATCAGCATACATCAACCTGAATTTATCAGTTGGCTTGCATTTCCCCAGTTGGTTATTGAACTTCTAATCCAATCTAGACAATCTTCAATTACAAACTACAATGAACTTGGCAATTAAACATTTTACACGATATGTAAGCTCAGAGAGGAACATGTCACTAGAGGTAAATATCAAATTTTATCTATACAAACAAGTAACATCAGACTCAATGGAGACATGCACTTATTTCTCCAAAACAAAATGCAAGAATCTTCAAAAGAGCACTATGTAAATAAATTCTAATCGGGTCATCAAGGCAACGTATTCATTTTATTAAGGATACTTGCAAACTTCGGTAGGATTCTGATCACATACTGCCACTTCTTACATGGGAGATGGTTTTGACACATAATAGGATCAAAGCATAATTAATTATGACAGATTCTTTATGGAGGTAAAATAAAGGTCCATTTGAAATATGACTGGAAGTGAGATAAGTTAACAACAAAATTGTAGGAAAACCTAACAGTATTTACAAAAATAGATTATGAGAAGTTCATCCAAAAGTACCAAAAGTGAGAGCAAGGCAAGGAAATCTGAACAAAGGACAAAAATGATCATGAGTAGCCCAAATAGAAACGAAAAAAATCAGAAGTGACACTACAGGATATCCAAAAATCAATATTGGCTCATACCTACTTACAGTCACTAGACAGATTAAAAAAAAACTCAAAAAAAAAAACATACAATCAGATGGTTAGAGGTCTTAGTTTTCAAAATTCTCGCTCTTGTTCATGCAAAATCAATTGGGTGCAAGCATGAAGATAGCATCAACTATCAAGTCAAGAACATTACAATAACAAGAAGCTTTATCGCATTAAGTGGAGTCAGCTACATAAATTGCATTATGTCATTGTGCTGTATCATTAACTAAGCTTTTAGGAATATTGTTAACTAGAAAGTCTCATCTAACAACTTTCATAAGTGTTTTCTTTGGTTTTCCTCCACCCCTCTTTACAAGGCTCAAGATTATCCATTTTACTCTCTTCATCGGTGCTTCCCATGGTCTTCTCTGTACATGTCCAACACATTTTAAATGATTTTCTACCATTTTTTCCTCAATAGATACCACACTTACTTTTTCTTGTATATACTCATTTTGGATTTTATCTTTTCATGTATGCCGCACATCCATCTCAATGCCCCAAGTGATGACAATAACAATAGTAATTGTGATCTTTTTCACCATAATTAAGATTGGAATTTGCAGCTCATTTTCCTTGGACAGTTCAAGCTATGCAGATAATAGACAAAACATTTCTAAATTAGAACAGTACTTGAACCTCACTGCTGTTATTTCACCATGGATGGGAACAGAATAATCATACCATATTGAAAGTTCATAACTACCACCTCCTTTGTATCCTCCTAAACCACAAAATATGGACATTATTCACCAACAAGGTCTCTCAGTCCTATTATATTATTAAACATTTAGATTTTTTTTTTTATTATTTTCAAATCAGCCTGGGGAGGGACAAATCTGGGTTAGCCACCTGACAATTTGAAATTTAAGCTTTACCCTATGACCAATAGAAAACAAGAAAAAAAAATTATAGCATCTAAACAAATAAATAAGCAACTATAATAAGAACGTTCATTTAGGGGCACAGGGCAAGCAACCCACAGCCCAAAAAAATTTTCCTCAAGAGCTTCGTGAAGCTTGTCATCCATCTAACTGTGCCATGTTACTTTTCAAAGATCTTAGCTTGAAAGCTTGCTTATCTTACATTAAAAAGAGTTTGTCCATTTTGATCAAATATTAATTGGGATGTTACTTACACAACTGGAAATTATTTGAACCAAATATTACCTCAGCTGAGGCCTTATTCTTACAGGGTAGTTTTATGCATATATCGTCCACAAAGGAAAGCACTGAATACTTACCATATCCAATAGGACAAATAATTTACTTCTCCCCACAGTTTTAATTTGATTACAAATTTCTAGCTAACTACAATTATTTCAATCAAATACAACTTTGCCAACCTAAAGGGCTGTCAAGTTTGACATGCAATTGCTCATTCCATCAGAATATATCAAAATATTTCCTGGCGGTAAGAAACAAGCCCCGTCCATGCAAGATCTTTTTTCCATCTAAAAGCATAAATTGCCAAAGAAGTTCATGACTCAGTTCATGACTCATAAATTCAGATCGTGAATATAAATGCATGCAGGTATATTAATGGTTCAGAAGCCAGAACCCTTTTGCCAAAAAGGCTCCAAAACTTCACATGTACATGGTGCACATGCACACACGAATACACATTGGCATAAACATTCTCATGCTAGAAGCCTGAACAAATACATACTCACTAACTCTCTCTAGCAACCAGCGTCAATTATCAAATTATCTCAATAGAATAGAGGTTCCAGAAAAGTTTCAGCATGAAAAAATACTGATGATGACACAAAACTGATGTCAAACACTTTGCTTTGACACAACTGCATTTAAAAGTTATAAAACCAAAAACGTCTTTACATGAAATCACAGCATTACACACAATACATTAACACTATAATGTTTCTCCTCTACCAGGAGTGGAATATGATATATGATTTTAAAACAAACAATACATTAACACTAGTATCAGGGAAGCACAGATGGACTAACTTAAGGGAATAAATTTTCAGCACTAGCCAATATAGTGATCAGAAAATCATAAAATCAGTGTCAAATACATAAAGTAAGCCGAGCATGTCATCTTTGAAATGTCATGTTATCCCTCTGCCCTCATCAGCAATGGCAGATTTGCTCAATTTTGTCCTTTAAAGAACTTATATATCTCCTACAGCCATACTACAGATCATAAGGTCCAACTTTTGAGCATCACATAGAAATTCCAAATATGAAATGAAAATGGAGTCATCAATTAATATGACACGCACTCAGACCTGCTTTCACATTCCACTAACCACCTAGCATCAACCAAAAATGTATAATCACAACCGATAATAAATAGGAAAGTGACGATATATAAGTCTTCAATCATCTTGAACTGAGCAGACCAAAACACTAATCGAACTCAGCAGACAAAGATCTTACAAGACAAGACCATTTCTTCTTTCAGACAGACTTCGATAGATGTCATTTAAACTTTCCTACGTCATCAACCAACGTATAACTGGTTCTACACAAATTTCACTTGTCCAAAAGTAATTTCAGATGTAACTGAGACGCAACAGCATATATTATTAAAAAGAACTTAAGTTTCAATTAAAATATTGACAATGGACATTAAAAACCCTATAACTCACAAGAAAATCATTTTTGTATCCCAATTTACGCATTCTCAAATACGAGAAAAGTACAGTAACCTTTTTCAATAGGTCCACTTCATCTGTTCTCCCCTTCTTTTCATATCCTGGTGGTGGAAATGGAAAGCAGCGCGACATTGCACCAAATTCTGATATATCTAGTGTGTGATCCTTCCGAAACTGAGAACGCTTCAATTATTCCACAGTAGTGCTGTTCCAGTAAGGGAACGAACCAGCAACAAGGCTCCTGTCCATGCACCATGTCAATGCATTCATTTCCGACTTTAGTATTCCTCCATGAGCTTCTAACTCGCAGCAAACAAAGTTATAGAAACTACCCACGTTTACTTCCCTTCGAATATTTCCAATGTCTGATAAAATCAATGTGATGCACTGCAACCACTCAACCTGACTAACAAAAACACGACCCTGGTAATTGTAAAGTATTAAGCTGAAATTGTGTCAATCCAAATGGTTTCTTGAGATTTGGAAATGGTGTACTGCAATCAGATCCTCTCAGTAGTCTTAGAGGCCAATAAAGAATCATCAGCTCCTTCCTGTTTCCGTTGTCCAATACCAAAATTATCACCCGGTAAAGGCCAAAATACCGAAACTGCTATGCTTTTTTTTTTCTCTTTTTCAAAGTCTTGATCCCGGCCAACACAATCAGTCAATTAATATACGCAATCTTCTTCCATGCTCACTTAGGCAATCTCCAAGTGGAAATGCTCAATCAGTGTATATCCAAATCTGCACTTCAAATCTCTGAGAAGATCGGTGCCCATGCCCATTTCACGCAAAACCCACAGAGAATGAGCCCGGTGCACACTCCTCTGCTCGGATGCAGAGTAAACTGATCAAACCGAAAGTTTTCTGCTATGATCAAACAGAAATTTTCGAATTCAGTGACTATCCAGTTACCATCCAATAAAACCCTAGAAAATCCACTAACACAAGTTTAGTAATACCGACCCAGAGAGAAAACCCTAATTTGTAATGCAATTAAAAAAAAAGAAGCAGTGGAAAAAGTGCCCAGATTGAAGGAAATAAAAAGAATCAAATACTTTTTTTTTTTGTTATACCCAAGTAATAATAGGTATCGATTAAAAGGGTAAAAGGAACTTGATTCGAAGCGTTAGGATGAAAACTTGGACGAGGAGAAAAACGAGATTGGATTGTCAGAAAGAAGGTGTAAGCGAATTGATGAGGAGGGGTTATCTTGTCCACTACAAGGTGAGCATTGCAGGAGATACAAGATCTCTCTCACGCGGATAGATGAGAAAAATAAATCGTAATATATAATCTATATCAATATGAATATATATATGTTATGCAGGAGGGGTATGAGAAATCTCGTGGAAGAGTACTTTGTATTGTGTTGGTGTGTTGGTGCGCTAGAGCTAATTGCTCTTGAAGCTAGATTCTGGGTTTTTGGTTCTCTTTTCTTCCCCACTCCTCCTGCGACTGTCTGGGGCCTCTCTTTGTATGTGAGTCTGTATTCGTGCGTGGGTCTATGTGTTTCTCTTTTCTTTCAAGGGAGAGAGAGGGGGGGGGGGTGATAGAGAGAGAGAGAGACTCTTTTCACTTCTGAATAGGTTTTTGTTCGGAAGTTACACGCGAACCATGAAAATCCCTTAAAATCCGAAAAAACTTGAGCAGGGGCAATTCGGGTAAGCCGGTCTATCAGGTCTCGGCTCCGGACCAACTCCACTCCCCTCTATCTTCACTCTGCTTGCTTACCTATTCCAGCTTTGGAAACAAATTTTTCATTGTGTACACTTGGAAATAAATCTTACTTGTTTGCCATTGCTGATTAGGAAGCTTAATCCTTCATTGCAATTTTAATATGCATCTAGTATCATGAGAGTTTTCTATATGCATGCAAAGCAAGAGGAAGCATTATAACTATCACAATTGAACTCTTTCCATTTTGTGTAGCTATCCAAATACATATAAATAATAATTCTAAATGCATGCTCCTTTAGCCCCAAAATTTATGCTCTAAGGAACAATTGAAATATCTAATGTTGAGGAGTAAAATGAGATTTTAAATTCCCCATAATTAAACCCAACAAAATATTTAAGCTATTTTTTACTTCTTTTAGCCCCAAAGTTTGCTTTTTTTTTTTTAAACCACCCGAAAGCCCCCATTCAAAAAATTCAAAACAATACGAAAGTAAGGAAAAATAGGAACAGTTAGAAGGTCAAAATAACAAGCAAAGGAGTGGCAATAAAAAGAAAGGGTGTGATCAAGTAATGAAATTACAATCAATCACCATACATTACTCAGTCACTCTTCATGTTCATCATTACGTCTTCATTCATTACTTTTACCATGTGGTTAGTTCTCTATTTCGTTCACACTTTTATTTTGTTTTAAATAAGGAATTTATCTTAAGTGGGGACTCTTCAGCAATTTTTTTTTTTTTTTACCAACTATTCTAGGAAAGTGGGTTTAATTGTTGAATAAGATGTATTTGTTTATCAACCACTATATATCTTGAATTTAAAATGTACAATAATATTCTTTATAATATTTTTCATTAGTTTTGTTCACTTTACTTATAATAAGTAAACAACTCAAAAGATATTCAAAATCTTCAATATCACCTAGTTAGTTTCAATTGATAAGTGAATAGAGAATAGTAAATATCATTGAACATTCTCATGCAATTATGTCATGCCACCTCTATGCAAATTTTTCTTCCTTGGTCATGTTGAAAGTGGAATATGCTCCCCCTCCCCCAAGGATATATCACTAAAAAGTCCCAATTTGTCTAATTTCCTTCTTTTTCTCGTTTTTTTTTTGTTGTCATCATTAATTTCCTCCCTTATTGCTGCTTTATTTTTTCCCTCGTAGTGCTTGGAAGTGGAATTCTTCCCTGTTGATTGGAATTGCATACTATAATTCTATTTATAAGTCATTAGCACCTATTTATAAGTCATTAACATGTTTTATTATAATTAAAGAAAAATTTAAACCTCATTAACTTTGTCTTAAATTTTAATAAGTTTTCACATTTGCCCCTAATAAATATTCTCAAATCTTATTATTAGTATTTTTATTCAAAGCATTTAATAAGGACAAAAATATAAAGAGAAGTATTGAAAATTGACAAGTATAAATACCTTATAAATAGGATCAAATTTTTTTCTCTCTTTGCCTCATAAATAGGTCTAGAGGAGTATCAATTTTTTTGTTTCTATGATTTATTTAAAGGGTTTCAAATAAAGTAAGGTGGAAATTAAACAAGTACTCCTATATCTCTTCAATATAATCAATAAACTTTGTAAATTCACGTTGGATAGTGGATTGAATAGGATAAAAAAAAATCTTTCTATGGCCAAGCCAAGTATGAACAATAAACTAATAATATCAAACAAAATAAATACATTATTATACATTATATGTTTTTATCGAGAGAATGTTAATTAAGAATTTCCGAACAAAGTTAGATCCCATTTAATACGAGTTACTATTAAAAGATTGGGAATTGGATTGAAATTGGGAGCAAGAGCAGGAGTGAAAATAAATTTTAAAATAATGCTTGATATATCATGGGATTAAAAAAATGAGATTGGGATTAAATAAACAAAAATTGCAAAAAAAAAAACTCAAAAACCCTCATCTCCTTCCTTCATGTTGAACCCAAACTCATTCTTCTTTCATTGTGCTTCACTTGGTCACAAGGAAACCCAGGAAAACCACACCAATTTGAGTTCATCTCAGGAAAACAACTCATCCTTCCCTCATATCCATTCTTCGATCACCAAGAAATTTTTGAATTTGGTTCGAGCAACTTATTGTAAGGAAAGAGTGAGAATTAAAACTCTCACCCCCTCCCTCCTTCCTCTTCTCTATTTTCAATCACTGATGTGAGAGTTGAGAGAGGTCATTTGTCTACCGCTGTGTAGGTGCATCGGGGCAAGTTTGGGAGTTCCTCCACATTAAACCCAAACTTCCTTCAGCATGCCAAGCAACTCTTAGGCCTTGTTCATCTGCTGTCTCCGTTGTGGCTGTGATAAGGGGCAGGGGGTGGAGGGCATTTCGCAGAGAAAATAATCAATTCAAGATTGATTTCCCAATATCAAATGTAGGTAATATTAAACAATCCTACTTAGATGAAATTGAAACAAAGGTTAAACTTCTCATATCTTATACCAAATATGAAAACGAATTTAATAGTAGTTTCAATATCACTTTTTTAGTTCTTTGTACTAAACAAGGCTTTAAATTCTTAAAAGGATCTTTTAACAAGTGAAGTTATTATTTTAATAATAATTAAATCTGTCTGGAGTTCTTTTAAAAAAATTAAACTACTTCAAGGGTCTTTTATTGATATCCTCTCCCTATAAAGTTATCATCAAGACAACTCATTTATCAGTGCATATTATATACAAAGCCTCCATAAACTTGGCAAAATGATTAGCAACCAAGCATAACAATGGTAATCAAAATTGAATATACTGGATGTCAATGTACTAGCATCCACATGAAGGCTACAATCACAGACGACTCCTAGATCGTTCAAGAAAATAAAACATTCTTGATGTTTGACTAAATAAAGAAGGATCTGGAAGTGAGATTTGAAGACTGAACTTGTACACAATAAAATGAAGACAGAAATTTTATTAACGGGGTTGAAAAGAAAAGATAATGGCTGTAAATGTGAATTGAATAAATATATGTAAAATTTTACTGGCGGGAATGGGTAGAATATGATTGGAGGAAGGAAGAGGAGTGGAAGGGACGCGCGAGCGGTGAAGGTGGGGATGGAGGGAATGAAGAAAAAGGAGGGCGGAGGGGTAGAAAGGGTAAATACGGAGTGGAGCCATTTGCCAAAGCCCATGTGGGTTGCTTGCTTCTCCCTCTCCTGCTGGCTGCCGCTACGTTTCCAGGTGGCACCACCCCATCTTTTGCTTCCTCTCTCTTACATTATATTTTTGGTTTTAATCTTAAAAAAAAAATTATTAGGAGTGAACTTGGTCATATACTCGATAATTTAATTTACTAATTTCTTTTTTTAATCTGCACATCCTAACTTTAAAATACATTTTAAAACGGAGGGAGCTCAAAATTAGATAAATTAATCTTATTATTCAGTCTCAAGAATAATGATTTCACTTGTTAAACTTTTTAGATATAGGTATGAAAATAGAGGTTGCCTTGAAAAGATTAGTTCCCGCTGTCAATGAAAAGTATTTTCAATTCCATCCAAAAAGAAAAACAGAGAAATATATAGGCTATATATTTGAGATGGCGTTGACAGACATAGACAATAAACAGGGGACTTAGAAAACATGAACCCATGTGTACCTGGCTTGGCCTGTGTAAAAATCCTTCTCAAAATCGGAACAAAAGTGTGCTGTCTGTAGGAGAATGAAAACCAATAACAATGATGCAATACGACCAGTAGCAATTAAGGAGAGATCATGCGAGCAATAGCCAGACATACCCACAATAGAAAGTTCCCACGGATCGAAATACAAAATGCTCAAATGATTTTAACAAAACAGAAGCATATTGACTAAATAACAACATCAAACTTGCCATGACTTCCTAGATTCAAAAGACACGACCACCTTTCTTTCTCGACCTCGCTCATTTAACATTATGGATGTGAGCAAAATGATGGGAAGTCACAGAATTTATAGGAAACTGAATAATGAATGAGACTACTACTTTTCTTTCTATCGTACATATTCTGTAAACAGGGGTTATATGTTACAAATCAAAATTGCGGTGGTGTTGCAGAGGCCACATCTAGTTTGTCTCTCTTGCATTCTCGATTTCTATTAGAAAGAGCTTCTCAGCTCCAGCCAAAAATAGAAAAGAAAGCACACAAGGTCTCAAGCCTCCCCTTCTCTGCAACCCGCAGCTGCCTTTGTTAAGTCATTTCTGTACTACGATGTGTCAAGCAAGAGCGGCACTCCCAGATCTTGGCCTGCAGGCAATGCACCGGGGCACGCAACCATTCATGACAGAAGCTCCTTTGCATTCAGTATAAGATCAAGACCATGTCGAAAGTTTCCAACCAAACAGTTTTAAGATCAAAGCTCAGGGTCAATCGTTACTTGCTGCCCAAGAGTGAAGTAACAGAAGAATGCATCAAGCATCTTGGAACATATTTCTAGGCGCAGATGCTGCTGTTCTGCCATGTCAGTTGAGTCAGTGGAGGGCTCCATTTGCAGATATTAGTGTCATACCACTTGCAGGTCGAAAAACCAATCAGTATGGAATGACATATGGGAAAGCATAAACACCTGGCTCTATATGCAGAGCTTCTGCCCATACCTGCATTGTTCCCCCAACATTTGAAGACTCTGCCATTGGCTTTTTCTCTTGTAAGCTGTGGCTGCCAAACAACCACTCTTGATCATCAAGATCAGGCCGCTCATCCATTTTCGGTACTGAATATACATGGGTTAGGTACTTTGAATCTGGATGGGGTGGTTTTACATAAGTTTCTTCAATTACAGGATCAGTGGGCACAGTTGCGCTGATGGGCTTGTTTGGGGAATCTGCAGATGGCTGAGCTTCAATGATGCCATTTTTCTGGTGTTCCTCATTATCAACCTTAAAATCGGTGGCTGCTACTGGACCATCCGATGCATACGGAATGGAACTTTGGCAAGGTTTCACGATCCTTCCATTCTCGGTGAAAGGATGAGGGTAAGAAGACGGTCTTGGCAACTTACTCGGCCAATTGTCACAGGCTGTTAAAATCAGTTACAATAAAAATGGGTTAACGGTAAACTTGTGAGCCAATAGCAAATCAGAAAGAGCCTTCACAAACTAGAAGAAGAATTTACCAGTGTAATCAAAAATAAGAAGTTTTAAAATATATACATATATATATATATATATTTTAATCATGGGAAACCCAAGATTACGATGACGGATGCAGTATCTGTTATCAGGTCAACAAAATACTACTCAAACACTAAACCTAAATGCCCGATTTGCTTTCACACACAACTTAAAGGGTTCATTGAGGAGAAATGAGGACCTGATTTTTCATGAAAAGAACTCACCATGCAGGATTCCATTTGATTCTGTGTCCTTCCGTTTCTTGAGATTTTCCCCACTAACAGCATTGTCGTGGCTGTTCTTGGTAATCTGTGGGAAAGAATTTATACTCATGGGGCCACCTTTGGTGCTCATTTTAAACTTATTTTGCTCTGTGTTCTTCTGTTCAGTTTGCTCCTTCACTTCCTCTTCCTTTTTTTTCTCTTTATCCCTGTCTTTATCCTTCCCATGCCCCTTTTTCTCCTTCTCTCTATCTTCCCTTTTGTCTCCTGATTTATTGTCTTTCTTTTCCTTTCTTGTCTCTCTTGTTTCCACAGTAGCTTCCACTGCTCTGTTGAAGTTCTTCTCCAAAGATCTGGGCATTACACCAACTCTGGAATGAAAATTTCCAGCATGATTCTGGTCTGTTGCATTTTCAATTGGTCGGGCCTCAGCCCAGATTCCTTGCCCATCAATCTTCTTAGCATCAGTACTCTTATCCTTAATCTTTTCCTTGCCATCAAGCCAGGTACTGCTATCCTTAGCCACCAGCCTGGCCGTCCCCTCATCCTTTTTTTGGCTTGCCAAGGTATACTTCTGAACCAACTGATTACCAGCCCTTCCATCCTCCTCCTTGATTCTCCTGCCCAACTCCTGACCTGACTGGTTGACGGCTCCACCATCATCCTCCTTAATCCTCCTCCCCAACTCCTGAAGGAATTTTGAATCTTTATTCTCCTCTGCCAGGTGATTAATTTTCTCTCTAGCCTTCTCTCCATTGTTACCAGCAAAGTGTTTGGGAAGTTTCTCCTCCAACAAGATACCCTTCCTATCCTTTTGCTTAATTTCCTTTTGAATGAGTTTACCTGAATCGGGACCTTCTGTTTGTCGTCCAGGGAATCCATTCTCATCAGCGGTATTTTTTTTATTTTTATCCTCATCCTTTTCCTTGTCTCTGTCTTTCTTTTTATCTCTGTGTTTTTCTTGTTTGTCTCTCTTATCTTTATGCTTTCCATCCTTTCCTTCCTTCTCTCTTCTTTCCTTACTTTCCCTCTTCTCTTTGTCCCTCTTCTCTTTTTTATGTTTCTTTTCTCTTTGTTTTTCCTGCAAATCATCAGATGGAAAGCAAATATCAAGACTAATTATCAAATGAGGACAGAATTAAAATGAATACACGACCACTTCACTGCATCACAGTAAAAAGTAAAACAGAAATAATTTTCACAAGGATAACACAGATAAACAAGCATGCTTAAGCAGTCTGCTGATGGATGGAAGAGAACAATATCACAGCGTTCTGTTACCTGCTAACGCTATATACCAACAACCATAAAATAATGTTAATTATTATTCTTTATATGTGACCTGTTGGATAAGTGAAATCCACCTGTCTTGTATATCGTAATAAACAGACTCCTGCAAATAAAAGATTTTTGAATAGTCCATTATGAACCACAAATAAACTGGGAAGCTCCAGCAATAGAACATCCTCTGGAGTCCAAAATCTTCTCAACCAAGAGAAGCATACTCGTGTTCATCAGAACAAATTAAGGAAGAAAACATTGCTACTTAATTATCTTCTGAGTCACAAGAAGCAACCGTAGACACTTCATACACTACTCTACCAGATAAGATCCAAAGACCACAATGTATCGTATGCTTAAACAAAAAGCAAACATAAAAACATTTATCCAGTAAAAATGCAAACAGAGGCAAATAAAAATCCAAGAATATTTCTAATTTATAAAAAAAATGAAAAAGAAAGAAAGACAATTTCACATTTAATTCAGAATCTAGGATTTGGTTACAATGAAATGATGGGAAGACAAGCTCCTAATATGGTCCACAAGATTATCCCCATAAACATTTCACGGAAAAGTAGCCAATGAAATTGTTACCCTATAACGTGCAAGCAGGTAACTGTTGATTCTTGATGAATCAAGGAGATTAATTTACTCAAATTCATATTTGATATACCAGTACTCCTATTAAAAAAAAAAAAAAAAAGACCTAAACCAAGGTTATCTGCTATGTACTTTCCATTTTCAAGTGCACCTCACGCTTCAGAAGATCTTTTCTAAATCTATAGGGTCTATCTTCATATTTCGGAAGAAGATAATGAGCAATGTTATCAATTCTTGAAGTTAAAACGTACTACAGATTACGATCTAACTGACCATGACGGTGTTTTTCCATCGGCCATGCACCCATTTTTTATCCACATATTAAATTAACCCTCCACGCCAAGACTTTGCCAGCCCCCAATACATGCTTCTCTTGATTTATTTACTTTTTTAATTCCCCAGTCATTTATTATCAAGCATTTATAGAAATGTATCAGCGCACATCAACCTGAACTTATCAGTTGGCTTGCATTTCCACCTTTATTTCACTTCTCTTAATCCCATCTAAACAATCTTCAATTACAAACTGCAATGAGAACGGCAATTGAGCATTTTACACCATATGTAAGCTCGGAGAGGACCATGTCACTAGAGGTAAATATTAAATTTTATCTGCATAAACAAGTAACATCAGACTTAAAGGACATGTACATTTATTTCTCCAAAACAAACTGCAAGAATCTTCAAAAGAGAAATACGAAAATAAACTCCAATCAGATAATGATGGCAAACTATTCATTCGTTTAAGGCCCCTTTTAGATACTTCTGTAGGATTCTGAACACATACTGCCACTTCTTCCATAGGAAAAAGTTTTGACACTTCACTCATCAGAGCATAATTAATTATGACAGATTCTTTATGGGGGTAAAATTTATGGCCAATTGAAATATGACTGGAAGTGAGATAAATTAACACAACTGTAGGAAAACCTAACACTATTTACATATATGGAATGAAATGTTTATCCAAAAGTACAGAAATAGACAGTGCATGGAAGGGAAATTTGAACAAAGGACAAAAATGATCTTCAAGCAATGAGACGTTTGATATTGAAGGAGAGAAAGTTGCTTGACAGCAGGACCAAAAAGCTAGTTCATTTTGTATTTTCTGAAACCTCATTTGACTCCATAAGGATTGTTATAAATAATAAATCACAACAGATTCTGCAGGTCGAGAATAACAGGACATCCAAAAATCAATATTTGCTCATACCTACTTACAGTTATTAGACAAATAACCCAAAAAAAAAAAGGCTTTCAAACAAAATTGTCAAGGAGCACTCTATTAGTTCTTTAAGCAAATTTAACGTTGATGCATATAGTCAAATAATCAGAGGCCTTAGCTTCCAAAATTCTCACTCCTGCTCGTGCAAGATAAAAAGAGTGATGACAATAGTATTTAGTCAAGAACATTATCAAAACATTTCAGTCAATGTCCTGAGTGATGACAATAGTCATTTTGAACTTTTTCACCAAAATTAAGATAAGAATTTGCATCTGATTTTCCTTAGATAGTTCAAGTAACGCAGATAAGACGGGATATTTCTAAATTAGAACTGTACTTGAACCTCACTGTTGTTCTATCACCATGAATGCGACCAGAATAATCATACCATATTGACATCTCATAACTACCACCTCCTATCTCTCCTCTTAAACCACAAAATATGTACATTGATCTGCAAAAGGCTCCTTTAATCCTATCATATCATTAAAATCTTGTAATTTTTTAATTCTTTTCAAAGCAGCTTAGGAGGGGGCAAATCAGGGTAAGCGACCTGACAATTTGAAAGCTAAGCTTTGTTTGATGACAAATAGAAAGCAAGAAAATAAAAATTATAGTATCTGAACAAATAAACAAGCATCTATAATAAGAATGTTCTAATATGGGGCACAGGCTACGTAACCAACACCCACAATAAATTTTTGCCTCAAGAGGTTCTTGAAGCTTGTCATCCAACTGTGCCATGTTACTTCCAAGAATTTCAGCTTGAACGCATGCCTATCTGACAGAAAAAAGAGTTTATGCATTTTGATCAAATATTAATTGGGATGTTGCTTGCACAACCGGAAATTATGTGAACCAAATATTACCTCAGCCAAGCCCTTATTCTTAAAGGGTAGTTTTATCTACATAAATCATCCACAAAGGAAAACACTGAATACTTCCGATATCCAATAGGACAAATGACTTACTTCACCCCACATTTTCAATTTGATCACAAATTTCTAGCTAACTACAATTATTTCAATCAAATACAATTTGGCCAACCTAAAGGTCTCCAAGTTTAAGACATTTGCTTACTCATTCCACCAGAATATTTCCTTGCTGCAAAAAACGGTCCCATCCATACAAGATTTTTTCCCCTTCTAAAGACATAGATGGCCAAAGAAGTTCATGACTCAACTTGTGAAAGTGAATACAAATGCATGCAGATATATTAATGCCTTAGAGGCTAGCACCCTTTTGCAGAAAAAGGCTCCAGAGCTTTACATCTAATGGTGCACATGCACACACAAATACACACACAGACAGATATTCTCGTGCTACAAGCCCAAACATATACATACTCTCTCTCTCAAAAAACCAGCATCAATTATCAAATATGATCTCAATAGAATACAGGTTCTAGAAAAGTTGACGAGTGAAAATACTGTTGAAGACACGAAACTGATGTCAGAGACTTTGCTTTGCACAATTACATGAGCAAGAAGTTAGAAAACCAAAAACATTATTACATGAAATCACAGCATTAAACCATGAGAGACAAGTTAGATTGCACTGACATTGTTTCTCCTCTACCAGGAGTGGAATGTGATATATGATCTTAAAACATACAACAGATCAACACTCCTACATGGAAGCACCAATGTACTAACTTAAGGGAATAAATTTTCAGCACTAACCAATATAGTGATCACAAATTCATAAAATCAGTGTCAGATACATAAAGTAAGCTGAGCGTGTCATCTTTGAATTGTCATGTTGACGGCCCTAATCAGCAATGGCAGATTTGCTCAATTGCGTCCCTTATAAACTTGTATGTCTCCTACAGTGTACTACAGGTCACAAGGTCCAAATTTTGAGCATCATATAGCAAATCCAAATATGAAACTTATAATATGCAATGAAATCACAGTCATCATTTAATACCACATGCACTAGATGCTTGCAATTGTGAAAAGAGAAAGACAAGAAAGGTGGGGAGAGAATTGAGGGAAGAAAAGGGAGGGGATCGAGAGAGAAATCAGAACAGAGGACGCATACAGAATACTTCACTGTATCATTCAAGTCGTAATCTGAATTTACAAGTAGGTAATATTATTTATAGGTTCAATACCCGCCATTCCCCAACAGGCAACAGTCATTAGCTAACTTTTATAACTCCTAATCCCATCATTTCTCAAATTATAATTATACAACACATTCAGATCTCCTTTCGTATTCCAATAACCACCTTCGATCAACCAAAAATGTATAATCACAGCTAATCATAAATAGGAAATAGACATTGTTATATAAGCCTCCGGTCATTTTAACTGAGCAGACCAAAACACTAACAGAACTCAACATGAAAGGATCTTACAAGACCTTTTCTTCTTTCAGACATATGCTTTGATTAATGTCAATTAAACTTCACTACGTCGTCAACCAACTTATAACTAGCTCTACAAAAATTTAACTTGTTCAGAAGTAATACATAAAACATATTTCAGATTTAATTGAGACGCCACAGCAGATATTATTCGTTAAAATATTGTCAATGGACGTTAAAACCCCGCAACTTACAGGAAAAACATTTTTGCATCCCAATTACCGTTATCCCAATTATATGCACTCTCAAATACAGGAAAAGTAAAATAACCTTGTTCAATAGGTGCACTTCATCTGTTCTCCCCTTCTTTTCATATCCTGGTGGTGGAAATGGAAAGCAGCGCGACATTGCACCAAATTCTGATATATCTAGTGTGTGATCCTTCCGAAACTGAGAACGCTTCAATTATTCCACAGTAGTGCTGTTCCAGTAAGGGAACGAACCAGCAACAAGGCTCCTGTCCATGCACCATGTCAATGCATTCATTTCCAACTTTAGTATTCCTCCATAAGCTTCCTACTCGCAGCAAACAAAAGCTATAGAAACTACCCACGTTTACTTCCCTTTGAATATTTCAGATTTTTATTAAATCAATGTGCTGCACTGCAACCCCTCAACCTAACTAATAAAAACACGACCCGGTAATTGCAGAGTATTGAGCTGAAACTATGTCAATCCAAATGGTTTCTTGAGATTTGGAAACGGAGTACTGCAATCAAATCCTCTTTGTAGTCTTGAAGGCCAACAAAGAATCATCAGCTCCTTCCTATTTCCGTTGTCCAACACCAAAATCACCAAACAGTAAAGACCAAAATATCCAAACTGCTAATTGAGTTTTCAAAGTCTTGATCCCCGCCAACACGACTAGTTAATTAGTATACGCAATCTTCTTCCATGCTCAATGTTAAACACCATCTTAGGCAATCGCCAAGTGGAAATGCCCAATCAGTGTATTTCCAAATCTCCACTTCAAATCTCTGAGAAGATCAGTGCTCATGCCCATTTATGCAGACCCCACAGAGAATGAGCCCGGTGCACACTCACTCTGCTCTGATGCAGAGTAACTGACCAAACCTAAAGTTTTCTGCTATGATCAAACAGAAATTTTCGAATTCAGCGACTATCATGCTACGATCCAATAAAACCCTAGAAAATTCACTGCGCAAGTTTAGTAATACCGACCCAGACAGAAAACCCTAATTTTATTTAAGAAAAAAATGTATTAAAAAAAAAAGCAGTGGAAGAAGTGCCCAAATTGAAGGAAATAAAAAGAATCAAATACTCTTTTTTTTTTTAATCACCAGGTAATAATAGGCATCGATCAAAAGGGGAAAATGAACTTGATTTGAGACGTTAAGAGGAAAAATTGGATGAGAAAAAAAGGAAATTGGATTGTCAGGAAGAAGTTGTAAGCGAATTGATGAGGAGAGATTTATCTTGTCCACTGCGAGGTGGGCATTGTAGAAGGTGCAGGATCCCTCTCACACGGATAAATAAGAAAAAGAAATCGCAATATAATCCATATGAATATATATGTTATGCAGGAGGGGCGTGTGAAGAAGGGTATGAGAAATCTCGCGGGAGAGTGCTTTATTTTATGTTGGTGCCAGGGCTGATGACCCCATGCCTGGTCTAAACTGTATGAAGAACCCACTTTGGGCCAAGGTCTCGTCCACCCTATGGGACTTGGCAACTTATTTTAAAAATAATCTTTTATTCTCAAGAATAAAAAATTTAAAAAAAATATTTAATAACATGTTTTAAAAAAATATTTTAGAGAAGAAAAAAAGCTAAATTTATTTTGAAAAATAAAAAAAGTAGATGTTTTGAGATTATTATTTTACAAAATAAAAAAGAATACAAAAAACACATATTTTTATCATTTTTTATTTTTATAATAACAAAATAAAAATAATTTCAAACCAACCCTTGCTTCCTAGGGTAGCGGAGATGGAGGCATAGAGCTGGGAATGCAACCAATCCTTGAGGTATAACCGGAAAACACTTTCTAGCAAGCTGGGGTTTTCCAAAGAAAAATCAATTTTTTACTTTTTTTTAGGATTACTTTTTACATATATTTTTCTCCTGTACGTGAAATAATTTTTAGTTATAAATTATCTATCCAAACATCAGCCATGTTATTTCAAGTCTGGCTACAACGTGAATATAAATTCATGTCCCGCATTCCATGTGATTGCAAATTTCTTTATTTGTTAGGGTAATTATAAATTTTCTCACATTCCTAATTATATTCACCCCATAAATTCATCATGTAAATGATAATTTTTCATTCTTGTCAGGAATAATTGGGAAAGAAAAAAATTATTAATAATTTTAAGTTTCTAGAATTATTCACAATGAAATTTTTAAATTAAAATGATCGGCTTAAAGAAGGTTTTTAATGGAAAAATGACAAAAAATTCCCTTAAAATATGCAAATGATAATGAACTCTTGCGAAATATGATAATTTTTCTTAAGTCCTTTGAGATCTTTCTAACATTGACAAAGATGCCCTCAATTTAAAATAAAAAGAAGAATAGATAGAGTAAAACTTATCATTTGCTATCACATTTTGGCCATTGTCACTTAAATCAAAATAATCATTGATATTTGTAACATTTAAATTTTATTGATTCAAAAATTTGTAAAGAAAAAAATTATAATTACTTATTTTATTTTGATTATTACTGAAAAAAAAAGTAGTGACTACTTAAATCAAAGTAGTTATTAATATTTACAGCACTTGTCTTTAGTTATTAAAAAAATTACAAAATACAATCTTTCATTTGCCATTTCATTTTAGCCATTATTAAAAGAAGAGTAAGCATTATTTAAACAAAAATAGTCACTATCTATTTCTTTTTTTATTCTAAATTAAGAGTATTACATTTATCTCACATGTGATATTAATATCAAAAAAAGTTTCAAAAAAATTAAGAAAAAGGCATCATATTTTGCGGGACTTTGTTATTATTTGCATGTTTGGAGGATTTTTTTTTATCATTTTTATTTTATTAACTTGTATGAAAATATTAAGTGAAAAAAAAAAAGCACTAAGGAATTGCACAAAGTCTCACAATACCAACTGAGAAAGTGTTTTATCCATAAAAAAATTAGAGATAATGCAAACTTTAATCTCTTATATTTGCATGAATTATCGATTCAATCTCTTATATATAATTTTTATTAATTCAATCTTTTACATTTTATAAAAGTATTGTAGCTGCCCTTAAACTTGGAAAAGAAGTTAACACTGTTAAAATATGATCATACGCCTAACAGAAACAAGACATGGCAGCTACATAGATCAAAAAAATATATATGTAGGGCTGACATGGATATGGTAAAAAAGCTTTAATTAATAAATTAAATTATTCAAACCTATCCTACTTCATCACTCTGCCACAGGGCACAATCGTACGAAAGGAAGAATTCTCAAAATCGTCCCTCTTTGGCAATCTCGCAAGGACAGCATACTGCATACGTGTAGCCTTTGATCCATCTTCAAGTCTGTTTTCTCATCTTTCTTTATCATTTTGATTGTCTTCGTCGAGAAACAAATGTACCCAAGAAGAAAATTAATAGATGGATGGGAGCTTGGTTGAAAATATTTTTGGTTCAAAATCACAGACGAATCGAAAGAAAATATTTCTGGTCTAAATATTTGCATTTGAATTTGCCTCTTTCAGATTCCTCGGAGAGTCTATGAAGGCAAATATGCAGACAAATTCTCCATAAATTTTTTTGGTTTTAGTACGCCTTATTGTGTTCTGTTCTGTTAGGATTGGTTTGTACTTTTGATTTGATGAAAGTGTCGATAATCCTAGAGATCACGAACAACTTATCAAAAAAAAAAAAAAAACGGAAACGGAAGATTATGACTGGGATTATTCACACCCTGCGTTGTTATTAGAGTCCGCAGTTCATCACGTCTGTGTCGTCAAACACCATTGCACGCTACTTCACAATCTTCAACTGTCACACTGCTTCATGATCGTGCTTCCGTTGTTTTGCCGTACAGGATGCCTCTATGGAACTTTTTAAAACCCCCTGATTAGAAAGTAGAAGGGAAAATAGAAATTAAAAAAATAAGAATATAAAAAGATTATGTGTATCATTTATGATTTATCCATGTGAATAATATATATTAGCAATATAATTTACACATCATCATATTTTGAGGGTTAATTTGTATTTTAAAATTTAGAGGATTAATATGATAATAATAAAAATATTAAAGATTGAATTGATAAAAATTAAATGGAAAGGACCAAATTGATAACTCATATAAATACAAAAGACTAAAATTTACACTATGCCAAAAAACTATTATGAGAAAGCGTTTTGTAATAAAAGAGAGTGTTTTGTCATTACAGTGATTTTCTCACATCTAAGTTGCCTATTTTTTTATTAAATAAACAAACTGTTTTCAATAAAATTATTTTAATTACCCTGGGAAAAACCTAAAAAATACAAGCATGCAAAAAAAAATTAAAAAAACTAGCCTGCATTGCACTCGAGCTAGGCGATGTAAACTAAAAAAAAAAAAAATCATTTCTAAATAATCTCGCATTTTGCCATCCCAACTTACTACATTTTTATATTTTTGCGGGACTGTGAAAGATTGGTTTGTCAAATTAGCTCATTCAAAAAAGAAAGAAAGAAATAAAAAAATTTGAATTGACATGTTATATTATTAAATGGTAAGTCACTTATCTATCCTAGTAATCTTGAGTTGAAAATGTACAATTATCTACATGGTTTTTTCATTAATTACGTTCACTTGACTACACTCCCGGTGAGTTATCAATTTTAAAAGTGTCTAGAAGTCCACAAATGTCCGTTAAAACTTGAGTTTTACTTGATATATTGCATGGATTGATTCCTTCATGCAACCATGTTATGCCATTTCCATTCATGTTCACTTCAATTCTTGCTAAACGGGTGTCCAATTTCTTCCCTTTGATGACTTTGTAAAGCTGCAGTTTTAATTAAATTCCACGATTCCACAATAGCTAAATACGATAGGACGAAGCTGATTATATATATAAAAAAATAACAAGTCAAAAAATTTAAAAAGACAAGGCGTTATTGAAGGGGAGAAATGAAAGAAAGAGAGGGGCTAATGGTAAATACGCAGAGAAGCTTTTCATTTTTTCCCCCCTTTTTGGACTACAAGGCCACAAATAAGGGGCAAATATCAATAAAGACCCTATCAAACTTATTTTAAATCAAAGCCTCTAAATTTTTAATATATCGTTATAGTTTTAGAGTTTTAATTTAATATTTAATTTCTAAAAATAAATGATAAAATTGCCTCTTGTTTGTATTTATGAAATGTTATTTATTACACTACTTCATTTGTTCATTTATCTATAATGAAATTGAATAAAAGTAGGGCAATAGATAAGCAAAAAATAATAATAAATAATAGTTCGTAAGTAAATGAATACATACAACATAGAAATTAATAAATTATTTTAAGATAATTTAAACACTTCGAATGAAATCAAGTAAAATAAAAAAATTAAATAACATTCCAAAAACAAATAAATAAATGAAGTAATGTAGTTCTAATATTAACATAAATGAAGAATAGTTTTATCATTTCTCTTTAAAATTTAATATCAAATCAAGATTTTTGAATAATATTAATATTTTAAAAATCTAGGACTTTGATTTAAAATAACTCTGGTGGTCAAGGAGTTTTTATTGACATTTTTTCACAAATAAATTGCAATAAATAAGTAGATCGAGTCACGTAAAGAAGCCATTTGCCGAGCACCTGTGAGTTGGTTCCCAAGTGGCACCGCCCCATCCTTTTGCTTCCTTCATCTCTCCTTACACGTGTCACTCCATCTCTTCCTTCTAGTATGGTAAAAAACATAATCCTATCATTATCAATAACTAGTATAGTACCCGTACGATATACGGTGTATTTTTATAACTTAAAATAATTTTATTTTAGAATGTTAAACAATATGAATGAAAAAAGTTTATATAAAATAAATTATAATATTAACTAATAAGATGAGTATAGAATTATAAAAACAAAAATTATAGAATTTATCATGAATCTTTAAATATTTAAAATTATGGTGTTTTCTCTCTTCATACCTTTCACCTCTTTTCTTTGACTCATTTACCAATCTTTTTTGCTTTGTTTTGTTTTTACTCTAGCAGGAAAGCTATCATAGTTGATCAAATCTAATACTTCACAGTTGTTGAAATATCTTTTTTGTAAACCACAATATACTTTATTATTTGTATTGTGCTAATATTATGATTTTGTATTTTTTTCTTTACCATTTGTAGGTTTATCTAATAATTAGATAGTTTGTAATGTTTTTCTCACATATAATCCATGAAAAATTAAGATTATAAGGTAAATATAAAAATTACATGGCTCCATCTTTTCTATTAAATCATGTGAGGGTAGAAAATTTTTTGAAGTACTATAATTTTTATGATTTATAAATATCAACAAATAAACATTAATATATATTGAAAATTTAAAACATCAATATTTTCAAATCTTGTAACTGAGATATTACAATATAAAATATCATCAAGATCAAAACATAAATTTGATGGTTAAGTCATTATATTCAAATACAAATTAT